GAAAATGTCACATCATTGGAAGGCTGTGAAAACCATTTTTAGCAGTTCATCGCTTAAAAAAATTACTATTTCTGGAAATCATGAAACTTTTTCAAAGATGGCAAATGATAGTGGAACAAAACAGCACATATATGGTTGATTAAATGTACAAGGTAGGTAAAGCAAAAGTATGGAAACCCTGGACTATTTCGAGAACGGCGAACTTTAATAAAAAAGGGTTGTGACAAAACTTTTAGGATTTTGAGGGCGGAATTCAATGGTGACCTTGACATTGATCTTGAGGTTAAATTTAAAGATCAACTTGTTTTTTTTTATGGGGACTTATTTTTGACCTCAGAAATGAAAAGAGCGGATAATTTTACGTTCAGATATGTGGTTGATGGTTGGGGTCACTCTTACTCTACAAGTCAAATCAAAGTGAAATGACATCGACAGAAGTGCTGTAAAATATCTCGAAAACGGTGCATTTTTGCTGAGAATATTAATAGGAACTTTGACTTTAACCTTAGTGACCCTATTCAAAGTCATATTAGAAAAAGTCGGCCAACTAAGGCAAGATCACGGGAAGATCCGACCAACTAAGGCAGGATCGAAGGAAGATCCAACCAACTAAGATAAGATCATAGAAAGATCCGGCCAACCAAAGCAAGATCATAGAATGATCCGGCCAATTAAGGCAAGATCACAGAAAGGTCCGGCCAATTAAAGCAGTTATAAATCATAGAAGATAAAGTCAAAGTCAAGGTTACTATCATATTGCCCTCATAAAATCTAATAACTTATTTTATTATCATTTTCAGCAAAAACGCGCTCTTTTTTTAAATATTTCACTTCAGTCTTCGCTCAACGTCATTTGACCTCGATTTAACCTGTAGAATAAAAGTGATTCCAACCATCAACCATATAACTGAACGTAAATTTTTCCGCTGTTTTCATTTCCGAGGTCGAAAATAGGGGTTTCCGTTAAAAAAACAAGTTGACCTTTAAATGAATTTCAAATTCGACCTCAAGGTCAAAGTTAAGGTCAACATAGAGTTTCGCTCTTGAAGTCCTAAAACTTTTGTTTCAACCATTTTTTTGCTAAAGTACGCCGTTCTCGAAATATTTCAGGGTTTCCATATTTTTGCTTCATCCTGTATATTTCAATATATAAAATATATATTAGAATTTTAAAAAACTGCACAAATTTTCCGAACAGCCCAATACAAGGGTAGTTTGAACATTCTAGTAAAAAAGCAAGTAAAACACTTTTTGGAAGAAATTAATTTTACTTTTCCACCTAATTTTCCTCGAAGGCTACACATTTGATACACTGATTTTCCAATTTTTTCATCTCGTCTGAAAAGTAGATTTTATCCACCTGTATAAAATGCGTCTGAAAAGTAAGTTTTATCTAGCTGTGTAAAATAGACAATTGACGGTGGCAATAACATCTTGATTCGATGAAAATTTGTTCCCAACGAGCCAATATTTTTATTTCGAAAGTAGAAAGAAGTCGTACGACGCCATGTCTTGGGAATATGGTAGTTAAGGGACCAATTCGAAGTCAAATTCATGCAATTTTGTTATTATGACGGTGGAACGGCGCTTGTCCTAGTGGAAGAGCATTTTTTACGCGTCAACCTCAGCTATTTTTCTGTCAATTCGTCTCTCAAACGGTCAAATAATGTTTCATAATAGGTTTCCGTAGTTGTCTTGCCCTTTTCCAAGTAGTTAATTATAATAATTTCTTGGGAATTTTAAGAAAGAGTGGTCATCACTTTTCAAGCCGACAAAACATTCTTCGCCTTCTTCAACGCACTTTCACCACTCATTATCTATTGTTTTGATTGCTGTTTGGACTCTGATGTGACGTCATGGATCCAAGTTTCGTCCACAGTAACAAACCGACGCAAAATATTCTTCAGATTGCTATTAAACATCGTCAAACATTGAAATGTCCATTCGAGTGCGTTTTTGGTCGACAGTCAACAATCGCTGCGCACCCATTGCGCAAACTGCTTTTCCATATTCAATTTTTTGCATAGGATATTGTGCACCCGTTTAATTGAAATGCCTACAGCCTCAGTAATCTCGGACAAATGCGTTCTTTTATTACGATACCATCATGGATTCTTGGATTAGATTTTTTCAATTATTTTCTCCGTATTGACTCCAATTGAGCATTCGTAGCGCGATTCATCCTCAATGCAAGTAAATCAACATTTAAACTCATTTATCCAGAAACAACGCTGGTGTACAGCTCCTTTCGACTCTTCAGCAGAGTTCCCACAAACTTTATCTAACTCGGCTTTGATTTGTGCGGCCATTAACTTCTTCATATAAAAATGTTTTGTAACGGCACGGAATTTTTTTTTTCATTGTTGCAGTAAATGCGAAAGTGGTCAATGGCTATCACACGTTAACTACGCGTCGTATTTGGCTACAATTTTGATAGAGGTCGCTTGAGGAATAATACTCGCCAGCAGTGATGTCACCTTTTAAATTGTGACACCCTTTCATTAAAATTTTTAAACTATTCTGTGGTGCGCACGCTGATTATACACAGGCATGTGGGTCCCTACAGTTTAACGTCGGTTCCGAACGGCAAATTTTTAGAGAGGCGTTCATGGCAAAGATACTCTCAATAGGTTGCCACTTCTTTTCGAGAGGAGACACGAGCGAAAATATTTTCGTTTTTACCGGAATCGAACCCGGGACCGCTAGCATAGTAGACTAGTGCGCTATCTGCTGCGCCACGCTCGTGCTCATATACCAGGTGTACCGGTATGAAGTAAGCGTCAAAATACAAATGTCTCGATAGGAAACATTTATTTTGAACGGGCCTTAATTTTGTTTTGTTTGGTTTCTATGACATCTATCAAACATATTCAGTTTACATCAAGTTATTGAACAAACAACATCATATTTTTTCATCGTGTTAAAAATGTCGAATTTTGTACCAGAAAATGATGATTTGCGGAAAGCATTAATTTTTTGTTTTCATTTGAAGAAAAGTGCTGCAGAGTCGCATCAAATGCTTGTCGAGGCATATGGTGATCATGCTCTATCAGAAGCAACATGCAAAAGATGGTTTCAACGGTTCAGAGATAATGATTTTGATGTGAGAAATAAAGAACGTGGAAAACCACCAAAAAAG